ATCTGCCAATGTATCACTCAATTATGTCAGCTTAGGTTCAACTAAGCCTAATTTATCGAAAAGCTTGTAAGGCATAACATTGATGTTTACAACTAAATCTACCGAAGATTTTTCTACATGAAATGCATAAATGCTTAAGGGAATAGTAAAACTCCCTGGATCATGTTATTTATGAAGTAGTTGTTTTGGATGATTTGACAACATTCCTCACTCAATATAATCGAGGCAAGGTCTTAAAACTTCCTCTTCTTGGTGAAAAACTCCTTTAATAACTTGGTGTACTTCGACATTTGAGCCAAAGCCTCTAAGAGTGGCATGAGCACATGGAGTTTCTTAGCATCTTTATGAACTTTGGAAAATCCGCCTCCAACAGGTCTTTATGCACTCTTGGAAGGAAAGATAGTTAAGGCTTATACTCAACCACGGGTGCCGGTGTCGACTTATCCTACTGAGCCTCTTCCTCCTTTTCCTCCTTAGATTCTTTCTCGAGTGCTGGTGGAGGGATTTATTCTGGTAAAACTTTCTTTGGTTCTGCCTATTGAGTCTTATTCCCGCTCTGTAGCAAGATAGCATGTTTGTCCTTGCGGTTTGCTATAGTTTGAGAAGGCAGAGCTACTTGAGGTCTCGCGGTTAGGGCCTCGGTGAGATTATCAATTTGAGCCTCCAGGTTTTGGAGACTATCTTTATGAATCTCTAGACCCGCTTCAACCGATGAAAATTTACTTGTGGCAACCTCCATAAATTTCACAATCTTCTCAAAATTTTGGGAGCTCAAACTCACGAAGGTAGTGACAAGGTTTTCAAGCTTGGTTAGCTTGTCTAGTTGTTGTTGATGTTGAAACCCTTGCCTTCTTTGTGGTTGATATTGTTTAGATTGGAAATTCATAGCTTGAAATGTGGTATTTCTTTTGAAAATGGAGGTCTTGGTTGGTAGCCTCCAATAGGTCCTTGAAAACCCGGTGGCCTTGCGTTTGTTGGTGATTCCCATGAGAAATTTGGATGGTTGCGCCACCCTACATTGTAAGTATTGTTATAGTGGTTTTTGTTGTTGTTTCTCCTAGCATCCATGATGAAGTTTACTTGCTCCTCAGGGGTGGTAGCCTCCATCACGATTCAACATTCCTCCAACACATGGTTGGGACTCGAGCACCACTAGCTACTTGAGAAACCATCCTTTACTAATATCCTGATCAAACCTTAAATCTTCGACTCAAGTGAGAGGCTTGAGTCAGTTTCATGTACACCCTTGTCTCGTCCTCTTCTTCCTCTTATAGTCAATACCCATCATACCCCTTAGCCGCACTTTATTCAAAGAGTTCATTAATTTGCGAGGGCGTCTTGTTGAACATGTTGCCTTGACACAATGACTCGATGAGAATCTGATCTTCTTGGAAGAGACCGTCATAAATGTGTCAACCTTGAAATTCTAATCAAACCCATTGCGAGGGCATTGTAGGAATAACTCAGTGTAACGTTCCCATGCATCACTCAAGGTCTCGTCTTCTTCTTGAGCGAAGTGGTTGCCTTCGAATCTCGATAGTCTTAGATGGAGGACAGTACCCCACCATGAAATTTTGAACCAAATCATCCCAAGAGGTAATGGATATAGGGGGTCGATTGTTGAGCCAAGTTCGAGCTTTTACCACTTAGAGAGTAATGAAATCGTCTTAATATAAGGGCTTCTTAGGGCACACCATTCATCTTGATATCGTCGGTTAATTCATATGACTGGTTGATGTGATACCTCACTGAATCGTTGTCGAGGCCGTGGAATCGGAAGGTGGATGTCGAATGCTCTCCACTAATGGGGATATGGAATACCCCATGGTTCTCGCCTCATCACCTTGTTGTGTGGGTGTTATTGGCTATGTTTTCAACTTCAATCTCCTCCTCTTCAGATTCCTCTTCTTCTTCGGACTCCTCCCTATGGGTAGAGCCCAAACCATGAGTCTTTCCCTTGATTCCCTTAACTCCCTCTCTCATGCAAGATGTCAAAGAGTTTGATTGATATTGTCATCACCTCAACAAAGACACCGCTCGCTCAAGAACTCTGCTTTGAAGGAAGAACGTAAAGAATAAAGCATGCTCCATTAGCATCAATAAACATTATAGAACTGATGACAAGGGGGAGTGCTAGTCTTCTCTTTCAATGGTGAAAAAGGATCATCTTCGGGTGCTTCACAAGCCCAACAAACATCTATGATCCCAGCACCAATTGACACCCTTCCCCCCCCCCCCCCAAAAAAAATGCAGATCCAGATAAGCTACTACTCTTGCTTCATTCGGTTATTTTACTAATTCACTACAAGAAAAATAATATTTTACGACCATAAAAAATGTTCGCAATTACAAATAAAATGGTCGCCGGAGTGATTTCACGACCAAAAAATGAAGTCTCAATAGTGGTCGCCTCGGGTTAGATAAGGTCCTTAAGGCCTCTTTTTTAAGAAAGATCTTAAACCCCTTTCAACCAATAGGAGAAGGAGATAGAGAGTGATTAGTAATGATTGGGTAACTACCTACCTAATACGTTAAAGGGTAAGACAGGAATATAGAAAATAATTAAATGATATTATTAATTAAAATAAGAATGGGAGAAATCACGCAGAAAACAAATTATTTGGGGTTTCGATAATCATTCTCCTCCCATCCCTAAACCTGTTCATCCTTCAAAAATCACCGTCGTATCGCGCAGCCGGCCGGGCGCTTGCTTTCCGGCGTTTGCTCTCGCTGAACCCCGAGTTGGTTACCTCCCGTTTTCTCGTTTGTCGTCGTCGACTCGCATCTTAGGCTGGTGACGTCTCGACTGTCGTCGTCTCGTTTTCTCGTATGTCTTCGTCGCGTTCGTAGACTATCGGTTTCATTGAATCGCCATGACCCTTTATGTTTGGTAAGTTTTTTGGACTTCGTTTTGCTAATGTATATTTGGTTGCGTTGCTTAATAAAACAGGCCACAGTTGTTAACAATTTAAGTTAATAACTTGGTGGGGGATAATTAATAATGCATTCGTTATTTGTTAATAACGAGGTGTTTAAATTAATTATAAACTTTGCATGTAATCCTTCAATGTCGTTTTAGGTTATTAGCTAAAGAATTAGTGATGGCAATGGGGTGGGGCAGGGCGGGTACCTCAATTCTCATGCCCCTCCCCACGCTACTATGGGGCGGGCCGGGTAAAACCCACGCGGGTACGGGGCGTGGCAGGTCGACCCACTCTTACATGTTATTCGAAAAAAAATACAAGTAAATTTTACTTTTTACGATAAAACGAAGGGTAAAACACTTTAAGAATAAAAAATAGTGATAATAGAATGGGTAATTGAGTCTAACAAGTTGAAAGAGCGACTCTAACTAGTTGAAGAAAAGTCAAAATAGGAGAAATATGTATAGAAATTGTAAGAAATTGAGATAAAATGAGTCTAGAACGGGGCGGGGCAGGGCGGGTCGGAAGTAGATACCCATGCCCTGCCTTACGCTAGTGCGGGTCGGGTAATACCCGCCCCATCGCGGGTCAGGTCGGGTAATACCCGCGGGGCGGGTTGAAATTGCCATCACTATAAAGAATACATGATTAATAAGGACGGATTTGTTTATTAATAATGCTTGTGTTAGTTTTTAATAATTGAAGTGTTTAAATTAATAATCCACTTTGCACGTAAATTGTTAGTTGTTTTAAATTATTAATTAAAAAGGACATGGTTAATAATTCAATGTGTTAATAAGTAAAAGTCATTACACAGAGAGGGATTATTAATAATTCATGCGGTAGTTATTAATAATTGAAGTGTTTAGGTTAATAGTAAACTTTGCATGAAAAATTTCATTGTTGATTTAGGTTAATAATCCATGAAGGGAAGATTAGTAATGATGTTGATGGTTGTTAATAATTAAAGTGTGCGAGTTAATAATGAACTTTGCATGTAAACCTTCAACGTCTTTTTGGAATAGTAATTTAAAAAGAGTTGATTAATAAAGACAGAATTTTTTTATTACAAACTGAATGCTTTAATAAGTAGAGGTCATTAATCCGAGAGGAATGATTAATAATCCATCGTTAGTTGTTAATAATTAAAGGGTTTAGGTTGATAATAAACTTTGTATGTAAAAATTCATTGTCGTTTTAGGTTAATAATTGGAGAAGGGAAGATTAATAATGACGTGGATAGTTGTTAATAATTAAAGGTAATAGTTTTGTTATTTCTTCAACGTTGCAGATCTGAATGAAGTAGTTTGTGATGTCAGCTTGGAAGGTGAAGATATTACCAAGAAGCAGAAGGTTTAACCATACATGAGGAGTTTGGACTACACATTAGTGTAGAGGTAGATGGTTTATTGGACTCGATTGCTAGAGGTGTTTGCGAAAGCTATCGTATTTTTTAGAAAAAAGATAGATAAAAAAGGTGATAATATTCATAATTATTACTAATGATGAATATTTTATTGATAATGTTACCTATAAAAATTGATAAATATTATAATACTGTATTGGTCATATATGTAGTGTATTTTCTTACTAATGATATGATATAGAATTAATTAAACCATCACTACGGATTGATAGTTGACTATTGCGTCCACTAAGCTACCAATTATACAGAAATCCAATTTAAAGATGATTATCAACTAGGATTCCCATTTCATTAATTTTTTTAAACTTATTATCAAGAATTTCACGATAATTTTAATTTGACATCTTTGTTTTATTTTATTAATCAATGCATAGTCGTTGTCAACATTTTCTATGTAGCATATTAATAATAGTTGACTATTGCATTCATTAAGCGACCAATTATAGGCATCCAATTTAAAGATGTTTATCATCTAGAATTCCCATTTCATTAATTTTTTTAAAACTTATTTCTTGCACCTCCTATTCTAACTAGCATATTAATAATGACAGTGTTTAAATAGGTATTAATTACAATGTTTTCTATCAATCCAGACGGTCATACAAAATATTGATAATAGGTTATAAAATATTAATGAATTGGGATTAAGAGTTAATAATCGTGTTTAAATACAGTGTTTAAACATTTTCTCAACAGTGTTTAAATACAGTGTTTAAAAATCGTGTTTAAATACATTGTGTAAATACAGTTATTAACATTTTCTATCTAGCATATTAATAATTACGATGTTTAAATAGGTTTTAATTACAGTGTTTTCTATCAATCCAGGCGGTCATACAAAATATTGATAATAGGTTTTAAAATATTAATAAATTGGGAGAAAAAGTTAATAATCGTGTTCTAATAACTTGATAATCTATGGTCGTTCTCATCTTGTTTTAGTTTCGATTACTAATGATAAGATACAATGTTAATAAAATAGTCAATAAAAATGATAGAATCGGCGATGAAACGAGATCACAGACATGCACGATGACAGCGATGGAATCGGCGATGGTGGACTAGCACGACGACGGGAACGAGACTTAGGCAGCGACGACGACTGCTGTTGTGCTTTGTCGGAAATCTCAGTAGGAGGGAGAACTCGGGACAGAGAACAGCGGGACCGACGGCAACAACGGCTGCTTTACTTTGCGTTGGTGGACTTGAATCGTCGGCCAGAGAAGGGACGACCGGACGACGGAGAACTTGGGACAGAGAACTCGGGACCACCAGATGGACTCGCGACGGAGAAGGGACGACCGGACGACGGAGAACTTGGGACAGAGAACTCGGGACCACCAGATGGACTCGAGACGGAGAAGGGACGACCGGACGACGGACGGAGAACTTGGGACGACGGCCGGAGTACTCGGGACAACGGACATTTTGTCTGCTTGCGGGAGGAAACAGACGAAAAGTAAGAGAGACGTGGGTTAGGGTTTTTGAAAAGAAAGAGACGCATGTTTTAATTTAATTGTATTCTCCTTAACACCCCTAACAACTATTTAACTAATAACTCCTTACTAACTATCTAATCTTGAGTTAGCCAATCACAAGGCTTTAAGTTCCTCCTTAAAAAAGATGCCTTAAGGACCTGAACTTAGGCCTGGTCGCCTATAGTGCGTCGCCTAATGTAGAGGCGACTCTTCTTAATACTTGGTCGTCGAAAGCTTTATTTACAACGACCACTTTATATGGTCGTGAATCATATTGTTTTGGCGACAATTATCATGGTCGTAATTTCACCCATTTTCGACGACCATTATGTTTGTCGCCTAAAGTGATGTTTTGGCGACTGAAATGTTGGTCGTCAAATGTTTAACAAATTGGCGACCACTTGTTTTGGTCGCAATACTTCTTGCCGCCGACGATGAGGCCACTGGCGATAATCTGTTAGGCGACTATGAAAAATGGTCGCCGAAAATATTTTCGCTGACTGTTGTAGTTCTGGTCGCAACTAATTTTTATGACTACTTTTAAAATGGTCGCCAAAATAAAGTACAAAGTGCTGATAGTTTTGTTGCTCATTGAATGTAGAAACACAACATACTATAAGGTGACATAATCTTATATATGACAAAACCTGCATTACTTTAAAGTTTCCACCATACTCCATACATTAGTATCCTAGCATTTTCGAAATGACATACAAATACGACACAATCTACTAGTCATGTTTAACATAGTTTGTCTTTTCAATAATGAGATGTCAGAAGATAAGTTCTAAATATTCTATTCACTAATTCAGCTACCTACACTAGTAGCACTTCACAAGATGTACTCCGCCACGCTTAGCTTGTAGCACTTCCCAAAATATCGTCCATCAAGCTTGTAGCGGTTCACAAAATTCTTCCCAATTTCTCCATTATGATCATTCAATTGCCTGAAACTTAACATGTAATATACATAATCTGCATAAGTAATCTTGACCATGAGAAAGAACACTATTTTGTATCATTCGACTCAACCAATATAAGAGAAACAACCTGATTGTCACCCTAAAGAAAACCACAAAATCATATCAAAGATAGGAGACCATAGAGCACTTGAAACAAAAGGCTAACACATGCAAATATATTACAACTTTCTCATAATCCTTTGGGAACTTAAACTACTTGTAATAATGATTTCCTAAAGTATAAGGAAATTAGATCACTTACGAGGCATCGTGCCTTGGGCCTGGAGCACTTGCATTATGCTTGCCAAATATGTTTAAGTCTTTGCAGTAGCTTCTCGATTTTCTTGAAGTTGACTTTTCAACTCGTTCTCTTCGATCAATTGATTAGTCACTACTCGGTTCTCCTCAAGTTGATCTTTCAGCTCTTTGTTCTCTTCAAGCAACTGAGTAGTCACTGTTTGGTTTTTCTCAAGTTGATCCTTAAGCTGCCTGTTCTCTTCCATCATCTGAGCAGTCACTGCTTGGTTTTGATCAAATTTCTCTCTAAGTTCCATAACTTCAACCTCCACCGCTTCTTTTCCTTTTGTAGATGGTCGTGGTGGAACATAACCAAGTCTTTTAAAATAACCAGGATCATCACCTAAAACCTCATGAAAGGCTTCGTCTTCAGTTATAGGGTGATCGGTATCCTTGCTAGCTGCCACCTTCTCAATCATCTTTTCCTATAAACCAAAAAGGATATCAATGTTGTATCATTCTCTTTTTACCATGAACATTCAATCTATATTCTATATATAACAAGGCAGAACCGCCACTTCTTTGAATACAACTCAATTATGATGAATGATATATAACTTCACTTACATGTGTTGAATTAACCCACTCGCCTGTCTTCTTGGTTCTTATCAATGGGAAGAAGTCAATTTTGTTGTTGATGTCACTACCTTCCTCGTTCACCTACGTAATCAAAATAAAAGGAAGTAACTAGCAAAAAAATAGTGATGGGGTATACATTCTTCTAGTAGCCGCAAAGCAATAATTTGGAATAACAGCACAATTAGGTCTCACAAATCATATTTAAGCGCATAGCTATTCAATAGATAAAGTTCATTTGCTTCTCTGCAGTATATTATCCTATAAGCAATATACTTGCAGTCCGAAAGAAGACAAGTGTAGGAAAATACTTGAGTCATGCATCTTATCAATCAACAATCCCAACCCTTTTAGGTGAATCACAGCACTTTCCTTTGGGCGAAGCACCATTTAATGGCAAATATGAATAATGAATGCGTGCTATATATAAACCAAAACAAAGATTCAATATAAAAAAGCTTAAGTTGAAAACTACAAGTAGAGGATGAAACTCTCCATATACAAAGCAAATCATATTAACAGAACTTCAAATCACAAACTCGGTACTTAAATGTCATATTCTTTTTAGGTTTTATAACTTCTAACCACCCAAACCTGAAATCGTGAGAAAATCTAATCCTATTTGAAGACACCAAGTTCAGATTAGTGAAGTCAAATGCCCATCAACCAAACCTGGTATGGAAAAAGAGGATTTATCAACCCTTATTGCCTTCACATCTCAAGTTCCACTTAATTAGCATCATCTGCTTGTTTCTATCCAAATCTTGAAATAATTCACTTGGAATTTCTAGTTCACTCGCCAATTTTCATCCAATAAAAGAACAAACCCTAAATCTCAAGATCCTAAATAATATTTCATAATGAAATTCTCATACCCAAACATACGAATCCACTTAATAATACCTTCTCTAGCCTTTTATGGAGCCTTTTAATGCCTTCTCTAGCTACGCTTTAGACATTAGACTGAAGAACAAAGCGGCAAAGAGACAAGAGTACTCACGGCGGTGTCGGTCCATAAAAGAACCAAGCTGCAACGATGATGTTTTGGAGACGGAAGAAGAAAGGAAAATTCGAGATGAAGCGAGAATCGGGAGCTTGGAGACGAAGTGGCAGGAGGACCAGAATCACGCCGAAATCAAAATTAGATAAGGACAAAGAGGCTCCCATCGCATAGGCGCCCCTTCATATCTCCACCGCAATGCAAAACGGCGCCACTTTACCTTGGTAAAGTACCGTTCAACCAGTATACCTTTTTCCTCTATATTTTTATTTTATTTTATTCTATTTTCTTAAATGCCGACTCAAAAAATGGTCGTAGAAATTTAAATAATTGGCGACATGTCAATAAGTGGTCGCCTATTTCTAAAACAATGGCGCCATTTTACGTTTCGGTATCCCGCCATTCCGATGTAAAAGTGCCAAATTTTCAATTATATTTTTAATAAGTTAAATTAGGCGACCATTTTCAGTAGAGTCGTTGAAACTTAACTATCTCCGACCATTCAAATACACTGTCGCATATGATGATAGTTTCTGCGACCATCATACGTAATAGTCGCGATAGTATTTTCATCGCCGACCATTGGTTGTCGTCATAAAACATCTATAATTTTCGACGATCTATGTGGTCGCTAAATATTACAAAAATGGTCGCCAACGTTTTCCAACATCTACTAGCTAAGTTACTAGTTTTTTGCGACTTGTTTTCGTGAATGGTTGTTAAAGTATGTGTTTACTGTGACCATTCTTGTGTGGTCGTCGAATATCAATTTTCTTGTTGTGATTATTACGATAGAACAACAAGGAGCGCATATATAATCATTAGGTACTTTGTTGCGTTGTATGATTTTTGCTTTCATGGACTTGTTTTCTTCGTTCGTTGCTACCATTATTTTGGATAGTGTGTAAGAGACTAATTTAGTTTATTTGTTGATGGAACTACCGGTCATCTAGTGGTAGGCTGGTATTGTTGGTGGATTTTTTTTTTGTTGTTGTTGTTTTCCAGTGGGTAGAAACAAGAGATTTTGATCATGCCATAGGTTTTCTAAAATAAGATTCTTTTCCTCAACTCTGTAGTTGAAGGCTGAATGGAAGTGACTCATGTTGCCTCCTCAATTTCTACGCATTGCGCCTTGATTACTTATTGCTCGTCATTTGGATGATGAATATTGTATGTGTTGAGTGATGCTATCTAAGGGTGCAGACCCACACCCGAACCAGAAAATGCTATCTTTGGTTTTCGGTCATCCAAACCCGAAAAGTCCATTAATAGTTTTGGTTTGGTTATAATTAATCGATTCATAACCTTTCGAACACCCCTTGGTAATGGTCGGACAGCACCTCTTCTCTCTTCTAACTAGGTTCCTCAGCTCCACCCCTCTCCTCCGCGGTATAACCCCGTGGTGCTTCTGGTAAGGTGCGACTTTCGGGTGGAGGAGGTGATCTGCTCGGGGGAAGGGCGATGGTGTGATTCTAAGCTCAGTAAGTGGTTTGATCCTCCTACCTGTCGAGCCATTAAAGCAATTCCGCTCCCTCGGCAAGACATAGAAGATCGTCTTGTCTGGAATGACAGTGGATGGGGTTTTCTCGGTTAAGCCGGCTTACCACCTTGCGGTCCGGTTGGATCATCAGAACAGTCATTGTAAAGCTACGTTTAGTTGAATGGATAGACCCATCTAGATCCGGTTATGGGAAGCCAACATCCCGCCGAAACTTAAGGTGTTTGTTTGGCAAGTTTTTAATCGGATTCTCCCCACAACATAGGCTCTCATGAACAAGGATGTGTTGATCCACCCTAAATGTCCTGTCTGTTGGGAGGCAGAGGAAACCATGGAGCATTTGTTTCTAGATTGCCCAGTGGCTCGGGCGCTATGGGATTACTCTGGATTTTGGTAACATCTTCTGCACCAAGAGGAGCTACATCTCCTCTAGTCATCATTGCATAATCCAAACCCTATATGACCACTTTTAGGAACAGAACAAATTTTTTCAAGTCATCAACGTAACATAGATTAACCAAAATGGACGCAATGGAATGAGTCACCACATTACCGATTTTCTAGCTATATCCCTGGCAACCCTTGTTTTACCAGTGCCAGGAGGCCCATAGAACATCATATTGCGGAAGGGTGCCTGATGAATTTGAGTGTTTGCAGTCGCCCTAGAGAGTTGTTCGATCCTCTTTTGTAATGAAGGGTGAAGGATTATATCCTTGAACCCATTTTTAATTACCGTCCATCGGTGATGATGTACCAGGTGCTGCACAAAATCTCTTGATTTTATGTTTGGCTTGAGCAGCTAACTTTGATAATGGAATTCGAGACATGGATGATTCACGAATCAAAGATGGCTCCCAAGTATTCTGTTTATGTAACCCCAACTGAGTCGAGCTCCTTCTCTGTAACAGAAGAAATCAAACATCACTGCTTCATATATATTACGCATTGTCTCTCATTCACTAACCACCTCAAAACAGATGCTTGGATATAGCTCCAAGAAACAGATTCTCTTATCACTACGCAATATCTATTGTACAAACCTAGTTGTATAAATTCCTGCAGCCAGTGCAGTAGCTCCTCCAACTATCATAACCAACTTTTTCCGATCATCCACCAACGTCCTGAAACCACACGTGAAAGCAATTTCACAAAGCAACATCTTAAAAATGCTAAGAATTTCGTCTACAAGCATTGGGGAATCACATTATGGAACTTCTTCACCTTCTATGTGACTGAAGATGTATTGATTGCAGTGAGCCATTTCTCACGTTCGCCATTTATCTTTTCAAGAAGCATTCTCCTATTATGGTCCTCAGTCAATTTCGCCTGATGGGCTTGGCCTTCAGCCTCAGCCATGGCCTTAACTCTTATGGTTTCTCATTCTATTTTAGCCCTTTCTTTTTTAGCCCGGCACTGCTGAGCCTGGATCTGCTCCTCAGTAGCATATCTTGCTCGTTCTTTTCTTATGCTAGACTGCTCTTGCATCCTGACTAATTCCACATTATATATGTTTCCTCAGGGTTTCGTCATCTGTCATCCACAACATGGCCATCGCACCTAATGGGTATTTTATCAAGGAAGTGTATAAGTGAAATTCAAAGGAATCGGGAAGAGAGAATGCAAAACGAGATAAAAAAACTTAAACAAGAAAAGCTAGTCGTTGTTAAAATTGCTCTGAAACCCATAGACACAACAACCACGCCACTTTACACGGGCGTGGAAGAATTGGTTCAATGTCATATAAATGGGGACTCTATTTCTCAGACACTCAAATTGGTCCTAGACTCGTAGTGAATGATGATTTTGTTCTTGCAACATAAGCACTAAGCAGTAAGCAGACCAAATAGACTTGGTTGATTGGAGTGCAATGCACCAAACTTGCCTAATAGTGTGTAAACTGTCCAAATAATTGGTACATGATTCTATGCCATTTCAAACTAAGTTTTGTGTTTGAGCCTTTTCTTTATAATTTTGGAAAATGTGTTTGGTTTTCTATTTGAGATTAGGAGAAGAGTTGTATAAATACTCTTCATCACTCTAATTTGTAGTTAGGTCAGTCAGGTTAGTTAGTTTGGTTTATCTGTTCTGAAATTTGGTTTGTAACATGTACTCTCCTAAAATAAGTGAAATTTGTTCTCCTCTACCTGTGGATTAGCTAGCCCACATAGTGTTAGCTAACCACATTAAATTTGTGTTGATCTGGATTATCGATTGCATGTTTCTGTTTTGACAAGTGGTATCAGAGCCTGGTTCGGTTCAGGGCAGTGGATATCAATTTGGTGGGAACCTCATTCGGAGACCTCGGGATTTGAGATATGCGTTTGTCTGGCGGGTCAAAGGTGATTCGGATCTGTTTGGTGGATCCAGGAGAGATCCATGTTTGGGCTTG